TCTTTTTCTTTTTCCTTTTCTTTTTTCTCTTTTTCTTTCTCTTTTAATTCTTGTTTTTTTCTTTTCTCTTTTTCAGCTTTTTTCTTCTCTTCCTCTTTCTTCTTTCGTTCTTCTTCTTCTTTCTTTTTCTTTATCTCTTCTTCTTTACGTTTTTCTGCTTCTTGCTGTTTCTTTAGATTATCACTTGTATTACTCTTCTTCTTAATTTCATCTTCTTTCTTTTTTTTCTCTAATTCTTCTTTCTTTTTGGCTTCTTCTTCTCTCTTTAATCGTGCGGCTTCTTCTTGTTGTTTGAGTTTTTCTTCTTCTTGTTGTTTGAGTTCCAACGCCTTTTGTTCTTCCTCTTTCCTTTTTTGTTCTTCTTCTTCTGCAATTCGTTTTGCTTCTGCCTCTCGTTCATCCTTTTCAAGTTGATATTTCAATAAAATGAATGGTTCTACTTGTTGATAAAGAAACTTAGTAACAACATACCCAACAACCCATCCCCTCAAATCAGCACATACAATAACCTCAATATTTGTTGATTCATTTGGAACTTCGTCATACACTCTAATTCCTATTTTTTTATATCCTCTTACTAACTTTTCATTGTAAGTATTTTCTTTTTCACTATTCACACTTGAACTGACAATGTATTGATCTCCTTCAATTTTATAATTTGTTTGAACAAATAAAAAATCACGTGGTGTAACTAAACTTCCATAAGGGATTTGCTGAATTTCATAATTTAAATAAGAATCATCACTTTGAAGTAACGTTTTCATTTCTGTAATATTTGGTTCTAATGATTTCATCAAAGGAATATCAAACAAAGACTCAACAACAAATCTTTTTGGTTTTTTTATAAAAATTACATATCGGGCAAATCGTTGATTGTTTTCATTTGGTAAAACACAATATTGTAACACACCATCTGGTGATGCCTCAAATTCCCATTTCTTTTTACTCATCTGTCTCATCCAAAGTTGTAATGGTTTAACCATTCGATCAAGTTCTACCTCATTATTTACATAAGGAATATCAGGGATTTCAACACTCATAACTGGCTTAGTAGTTCTATTCCAACTACATTATTCTTCTTTTTCTAAAAATTATCATCTTTTCCTTAAATCATAAAACCCTGAAAACAGAGCTAAAGTCTTTATTAAACAAAGACAGAACTTTTGATTTTAATGCTCTTTTACTTACTCATTGCGCTTGCTTCAGCCATTGACTATTACCAAGTCCTTGGTGTCTCAAAACAAGCAACACAATCTGAATTAAAGAAGGCATATCGTACATTATCATTGAAATACCATCCTGATAAACCAACTGGAGATAAAAAAAAATATGAACAAATTAACAAAGCATATGAAGTTCTTTCAGATGAAACTCAAAGAAGAAGATATGATCTAGGTGGAGAAGAAGCTTTAAAGAATCCTGAAAGACAAAACGGATTTGGTGGATTTAATCCATTTGGTGATATTTTCCAAGATATGAGACCACACCAAAAACATCAAATGCCTAATGTTGAAATTGTGTTGGACGTTACATTAGAAGATTTATATAAAGGTAAAACTATAGAGGTATTACATAGAAAAAGACAATTATGTCATCATTGTCATGGTACTGGAGGAGATACACCAGATGATGTAAAAGAATGTCCAGTATGTCATGGAAGTGGAGTTAAAACGGAGACAAGAAGAATTGGACCAGGTTTTATTCAACAAATTCAAAGTACTTGTGATAAATGTGGAGGAAAAGGAAAGATATATGGAAAAGTATGTCATGTTTGTAAAGGAAAGAAAGTTGAAGAAGGAGAAACAACTATTTCAGTAACAATAAATAAAGGAATGAGAGAAGGAGAAGTCATTACTTTTGAAGGATTTGGAGATGAAAAGCCAGATTGGAAGACAGGAGATGTTATATTTAAGATTCACACTATTGAACATCCTAATTTCACACGTAGATGGGATGATTTAAGAACAACAATGCATATTACATTAAAAGAGTCATTAATTGGATTTACTAAAGAAGTAAAACATCTTGATGGTCATATAGTTAAAGTAGAAAAGAAAGGTATTACACCATATGGAAGTGTTATTACTATAGAAAATGAAGGTATGCCAATTAAAATGAAAGAAACAAAAGGAAAATTATTTGTTGATATAATTGTTGATTATCCACATTCTCTTAATAATCAACAACAAGAAGCAATTGAAAAATTATTTTAATTAAAGAGAATAATAATTCAATGATTTTATTTATTTTTTTTCAAATAATTCATTAAATGAGAAGTCTTTTTCATTAATTTCTTGTTGATTAAATGATGATGGATTTTCACAATAAAATCCTCTTTTATCAAGGAGATTTTCAATTTGTGTTTTCTTAAATCCTTCAATATTTATTTCTTCTAAAAGTTGATTTGTAAGATCATAAAATTCGAGTGTTGTTTTACTTGAACCAATTTTAATAACCATAGGGCTATTAAATAAGTTAATTTCTACTTTAAATTAGTTTTGAAATTATACAAACTAATTGGGATATTTACTATTAATAAATGCACTAATTCCTGGTTCTGTTCTTAATGTGCATGTTGGTGGAATATTTAATACTGCTCTAAAATATTTCTTAACATCAGCTTTAATAAGAATATCTTGTGAAAATGCAAAAGTGAAGAAAAATATGAAAATAATCTTCATTTTATATTTTGTAGTTTAAAATTTTTAAACTTTTATTAAAAAAAAAAACAAAAAAAACAGAAAAAACAAAAAAATAAAATAAAATTATATTTTTAAAATTTTTAAATGTTTCAAAATTTTATCAAGGAAATAATTTATTTTTAGAATGAAGATTTGTAGAAAATTTTTTATTCTGGTAGTTAATGAAGTGATATAAACTAACCAAATGACATGTTTTTATGAAACTAATATTGTACTGTCAACATCTATTCAATACTCAAAATATAGAAAATGAAACTATAAATTATTTTTATAAACAGGGGTTGAAACGGTATTAAATTAATTGCAAATCCAAAATAACGACATAGAAAATAAAAAGAATTTTTGAGAAAGGAAAACATTTAACTTTCATGACTTGAACTGTTTTTAAAAATAATTCTGAATAAAACAGAAGTGTTTCAATCTATTTTGGTAAAACCCAGTTTAATGGAAGGAAGGGTTGTATTTAATCAGAAGAACTCCCAAAAATTAATCACCTAGTTGAGTTATGGAACGAAACATTATCTTTCCTGTTAGAATCAGAAAGGTAGGTAAAACAAAGTCAATTAATATTATTTATAATATGAGACATGAAGATCTTTTTACTCAAGAATTTGAAGAAAATGAAGAATGTGATTTAGAAGTAAAATCTATTTTATCTGGTTCATTTGATTTCATTAAGAATCATTTCATTATTGAAGGAAAAGAAAATGTTCTTGATCAAGTTATTGTTAATGCAGACTATCCATAAATAAAGATCGTCCTGACAATATTGTTTTTTTTTTCTGCTTAAGAATGTAAATTAGTTTTTCTTAAATTTCTTTTTGTTCCTTCTTTTCTTAAAATTTATTCTATTAAATTAAATTAAAAAAAA